TCAACTGGCTTCTCACTCTTCTTCCTCATGTACTGTCGTGAACCTATCTTACCAGTTGAAGTCCAGACTTCTGATCCTACTATCGGTATTGATGACGCGAGGTACTATGGCCAACTAATCTCTCAACATATCGAAGCTAAAAGACTACTCGCAAAAGAAAACATTGAACAAGCACAAGAAATAAATCGGCGCCACTATAATGCACGTCATCGCCCGGTAGTCTATCAACCCGGCGATAAGGTAATGGTGTATTGGCCCAGAAAATTTAAGGGTAAGGCTACTAAGCTATTGCAAAATTATGCAGGCCCTTATATTATCTTGGATAAAATTGGCATCACTTCTTATCGAGTAGTGAAGAACTCAGAAGAGCCACATAAGAGTATGGCTGTTCATGTTTCGCGTTTGAAGCCATTTAAGGAAAGACTACCATGCATGACTTCAAGCTCTACTGATATAGTAGACGTGGAGATCTCCTCTTCTGACCAAGCGACCGAGATTTATACACCTCCAAACGAAAGCCAACCACCGGACTCGTCAATAACTGAACCAGTAATTGAAGGACTACTCGATACTTCTGATGCAAATTGCGAAGTCCCTAACAGTTCTGACTCCGAAGCTGAATCTCGGCCAAGAAGAAGCCAAAGGACTCGCAAACCACCACAACGCTTTACCGTTTAAATGTTGGACTACTCAACATTTCTTGAGTCCATTGTATCCGGACTACCATTGCTTGACTAATCTTGCTAACATTTATTCTCATACTTAATACATTTAAACACATAGAAAAGTCAAAAAAAAATACTTATCAAAATTTATTCAAAAGAAAGAAATGGAGATACAAAAGGGGCTAATACAAGACTACTGGTTATTCCTCCTGTTTTTCAAAAAATAAAGCCAACTCGGCTCCTTGGAGAAACTTGCTTAAAGAAGACTCCTCGGTGTGCGTAGCCAGATGCTTGTAAATGTTTCTCCACCTTTTAGCATCTCGTGGGGCGTTGAATCGGCAAAGATTACAACCAAGAAGACCATCACGGACTACCAGCATTTCATCAACCAACCTGCCTCTAGACCTTCGCAGCTCATTAAGTTTGGCTACTGGATCCCAACCAAAGTTGATGTCAGGAGCAAACAGGTTTACAGCCTGTGAAGGTGCAGGGTTAGGTGGATCAACACGCTCAATGGTAGTAGTCGGACGTGAACTACCAGGCCAAGGTCTTCTTATTCCAGAAGAAGGTCCAGGTTGAGGGTCGATATAAGGGTCTTGAGCAACGACTGGAGCAACAACGGGAGCAACGACTGGAACCTCAAGGATAGGATCATTAGGTACAACTTCATCAGGAGCAGGCATATCAGGAGCAGGAACTTGCACTGGGCGACGGATAGCATTATTCGGTCGGACTACTTGCTGGACTACTCGTCGACGTGAAGGGTAACGACCCGGAGCTATCAAGTTGTCCAAAGCTGGCTGGTAGTCCTCGTCTGCTGCATCTTCAGATTCCGAGCCAGTATCCGATAAGTTTACCGGTGAATGACCACGAACACTGACAGGAGAACGACTACGAGATGAACCAGGAGAGAGATCACGGATTGGTAGAGGAAAACGAGCATAGCCAACATAGCCATCTAAGTATGATGGGTACTCCTCAACATCGTCTCCACACTCTAAGGAAGAAAAAAAAAACGATGGTTAACAAACTCATATTTTAAACTTATTCTAAAGAAACTTACTGGTTGGAGCAGGTTTAATGGGAAATTTCATTGTGTTGAAAATTGAAGAAAATGAAGAAAAATTGAAATTTTAAAAGTTGTAGTCCAAGATGACCAATGAAGAACTCGAATGAAGTAAAGACAAAACATTTTGGGCCTTATATGTGACAATTTTATCTCAACGACTAGGGTCAGTCGTCTGTCGAGAAGGGGAGATTGTAGAGTTTGTTTTTACCAAAACTAATTATCTTGTTATTTACCCTTACTGTGAGAACTTTTAGTTCTATGCTAATACTTGACACATCTGGTAGTCATTTGAACCACTTGTTTACGAAAAGTGCAAAAACCAATTAACCAGTGCAATTGTTTATTATTGCTTCCAAGGGTCAACTTACTGATAAACAATTCCGAGAATTGTTTACCATCGTATTGATTTAACGATCGAGTGAGTAAAGAGAACTCCTAGATCTTTGAGTATAAAAGCCTTATCTCAAACCCGATAATCAGTAGTGATCTTGGTCCCTTTCACTGATTACCATCTGTATCCCTCGTAGCCCTTATACTTGTTTACCCACATACTCTATTTCTCTTTTCAATTCTAACTCCAATAAAGTTTACTTAAAAATTTGAATTCAAGTTCCTTCTTATCAGTAGTCCACTTGTGAACCATAGTCAGACTACTCAGTCCAACTTTATACTGATAAAGTTTCTACTTTTACAACAGCAATAAATACCTGAATTTTCAATCAAAATGCGGATAAGAATGGTTATCCTGCCGGTACGATATTTCGAGTCAATACTTTTTATTTTATTAATTCCAGAACGAATAACTACTTTTTTCGACAATTTCACCCAACTTTTTTTAGAATCAGAGATATTCGATGCTAGATTTTTTACTTCGACCTTTTCAGCGCAACACAACACTCAGAACCTCTCAATAGAACGAGTTTGGCGCAAATTTTGACATTTTTCCTCTTTTCTAACTAATGTGAGGCCATTTTCCGCAACCAGTAAAAATAAAGTAAAAATTAGCTTTGAGTAATGCACTATTTTTCCCATAGGGTGAAATTCCTCTTTTTGAGAGCGAATCGCGTTTGGCCTTATTTAGCATGTTTACTTCACGAAATTAAGTCTAATTTTGGTATTTAATTAAACAGCAGAGTGCAGTCTTTCATTTTATAACTTTGTTTTTACAATATCCCTGTTAAAAACCGTTAATTTTTGCATTTGAATCTATTAACACTTATTCTTAGGAACCCTTTATTACAGGAATGAGGACCGATTAGAGCGATTTGAAATATCAAAATGGTTCCCTAAACTGAAGGTTGGTTCATTGGATGAGGGTCGATGTAAATGAAGACAAAGGATTAGTTTTTAGTGAATGAATTTAATTTAAGATTCTAGACGGGCGTGGACACCTTCGATTGGATGCCCTTTCTGATTTGCCAGTCAAAGGATTGCTACAAGTTGCGGCTATGGAGCAGTGACGGATTACATGACATTGGATATTCCATTCATTGAAATGTTAGCTGATTCAGATTTTTATGATTATTTTGCAAATGATGTACAAGGACCAACGCTAAAACAGTTATTCATTTCCGATTCCAATGTTTCAAAGTTTGCCAGTTATGCTAAATATTTTCCAAATTTAAGGCGACTTCATATCCAGGATTTTCCTTGTAAGTCATTCTTTTATTTTTATTGTGAGATACGCTATAATATTCGTATGTACATTCGAACAGTGTACCCTTTCGAAGACAAATTATATACCGGACCTGTTCTTGAAAAGCTAGAGATTTTGGAGATTTGTTTCCATGCACAAGCGGAAGTATTAGATCATTATCATGGCTTCAGCCTTGCAGATCATTGTCCAATTTTGAAAAGTGCCTTTCATTTTATACAAACTGGTGAACAATTTTTTGTCAACACTGGAATCAAAAATCATTTCTTAAAAGATTTAATTATCGAATTTGTTAGTATTTCTTTTAAAACTCACATTTTACATAATTTAGTGTTTCTTTTCGTAATATTGCAGGATAAAGGTCAAGATTGGTCAGTTATAAATATTGAGCAAGTATCCAAATTTGAAGCATTTAGCTATTAGAAAAGGCAAGAGCATATCTGATGAGATTATTCCTGAACTTTTGGGACTACTTCCTCGTATTATTCTTATTGACATTAGAAACTCGAAAATAATAACGCAAAAGTCGACTGATTATATTGATTGGTACTGCAGACAACATAATCGTTCAATTTCATTCTATTACAAAAATAGACCTAAAATATCAAAGAAATGGCCTCATTTATCAACCAAACGCGTTTTTATTGGTCGAGGATTTGATTTCATGAAATACTGTTTTCTCAGACGTTTAAATGAACTGCCACCTTTACTTGATCCTGAGGAATCAATCACGTCTATCGAGATGCTACCTACCTGTCTGGATTACATCGCGAAAATTGATGTGAAAAATTTGCATTTACGGTTCAATTTCAGCTATTGGAGTACATAAGTTATTTGAATTAACAACATCTAGTTTTTTGATTACCAAAGATCGAAATAAGATTTAACTACAGTTATAATATTCAAGAAAACTCCTATTAATGGACCGACTTCATCGTGTTCCTGATTTTCATCGATGTAACCATGTAGATCCAAAGAGGCTGTTGAAGTAATTTCAATTTACGGTTCAAGGTTCATCTGAAGCAATAAAATCAGACTCAAATTTTACTTCTTTTATTATGCTATTATAGTATCCGAATCATTAGCCGATTCCAATGGTGCATCATTAAAAATGAATTTATGATACTTGAACAGATGAAAATGCATTCGCTTTAACATTGGATAATAGCAATTCAATTCATCTAATTTTCAAGTTAACAATGCCAAGTCAATATTAAATTGTTCATCAAAAACAGTTTTATCTGAAAATAAATCCGAAAATTGAAAATTGAAAGTTGAAAGATGACAGATGAAAAACAACGTTTGAAGATGTTTTCAAACTAAGGTGGCGCAAGAGATTGCGCCAGTAAATTGACTGAAATGAAGCTGAGTCTATGACTACATCATGTGAGAATGAATCAATCCCACAGACAAAATACTGTTAATCAACAAGTAAAAAGCTCAAGGACTTAGGTTGACTTCATAGAGAGCAATTCGCACCATTTTGTGAGTTCTGTTGCTTGTTATTGCTTGGAATTTTACTCAAAATTTCATGTAATTGAATTATGTAACGTGACTCCAAATGATTTAATAACCATATAACAGTTGGTGCCTAATTAAGGAGGAGTTAAGGCTGTTTATAAAATAAAGTAATAAAATTTGAGCAGACAGTTGAACTATCTTCTTCAAGTTTTACACATTCATTTAAATAACTTACTGTAATTTACTTATTAAGGAACAAGAGTCTGTCTAATTGTCAAGTTAATCATGCCAAGTAAAATTCATTCAGTTGCTGGTCATCAATTTAAAGCTACTTTGCTTACTTCACCAACTTTCTGCTCCCATTGTGATGGATTCATTTTTGGTTTTGGGAAACAAGGATATCAATGTAAAGGTAAGATATTGAAATGAATCAATTCAATTTATAAGTGAATTTAATAATTTTTTATATTTCTTGCAATTTAAGGCTGCGTCTGTGTTGTACACAAAAGATGTCACAATGCTGTGAAAAATCAATGTAAAGTTGGAGAAAATGATCAGGTAAATTGAATTCTGAACATCAAATGTTCAGTTTATTGTATAATATATGACAAGTTTCTTGTGATCAGAAAATTGATCTTATACAACATTACTATTGTCTTTATCATCTGTATCAGGATTTGCTTAATGAGGATCAACAAGATGTTGGTGAATCTCATACATTTGAAGTTCGCACCTACTTGTCACCAACCTTCTGTAATCATTGTGGTTCAATATTGACTGGACTTGTCCATCAAGGCCTCAAATGCAAAGGTAAGTTGCCATCAAAAACAGTTTCACTTTAAAAATAAATCCAAAAATAGATAGTTGACAGATGAAATAGCTCTTATCTAATATCTGTAAACCAGCTCGGCATCAGTGGAAGGATTACGTCAGTAGATTGAGTAAATTGAAGTTCTGCCAGAACAGCCATAATTACATAATATACGCATGATTTAATCTCAACTGTAATATACAGTTCATAAAAAAAATAACAGCTCAAGGACTAAAATTTTGACTATTTTTACAACTTGCTAAGTTTTGAAAGAATTGATAAGAAATAAATTGAGCATTTGCTGTTCCATTGAGCTTGTTTAGAGATTCAGCTAATTTTCCTTTTTCTTATTTTTTCAGATTGTGGGGTGAATGTTCACAGAAAATGCAGCAAATATTTTCCCGTGAAATGTGAACATAATGCTTGATATTTCTGGCTACTTCAATGTGGTTTGTTAATGGCCAATTTGCGATATAAAACCTTTATAAATTATGCTGCATAAATGGTCAACCAATAATCCTCAATCAAAATTTTCTTTTGGATGTATTCAGAGAAAAATCAGTAAAACAGATTATACTGTTGGAAAATTGCATTTAACATTGATTTGTGCCATGTTACAAGAATTATCATTGAATTGTATTAATCGACTATTGATAAAAATAAAATTGCTTCAAGATAACTTCACAAAATACAATCTACTTTTTTGTATCAACACCTTTAACTAATCTTGAACTTGAAAAATCTCAGATCGTGAAATAATCGTGAAAAAATTTTGCTTTTGAAATTATTCGAATAAATATTAGTTTATCCTGTTTGCATAGCCTGAAAAGACTCTCCAGTGCAGAATTATAACAAAAAATAACATTAGATTTAATTAACTGACGTAATTTAATTTCCGCGCTGACAATACATACTGGGTGACAATTAAATGGTTAATTAAAGTAAGAGGCTGTAAAAATCGTATTTTCTATTCGATTTTCACCAAATTTTCAGGAATTGAAATTAAGCAAAAAGGAATTTAATTGGTCAAATTTTCCAAGTTGAAACCTTTACGAGCGACAACATGATGCAATAGGGGCTACAATGGGGATTTTTTTCACGGGGCTATTTCAACAATAACGTCTAGTGAAATAGATCAAATTCAATAGAGGAGTTCAAATTTTTTATCAGATAGCAAATCCGATGCATAACCGATGAGATGTGAATGAAAACGCGTTTCAGCACTTCAATTCAGATTCTAGCAAATTATTAATACTTCACAGATAGTGTCATGTGATAGCCCGTCAAATTTTGATCAATTGAATTCCTTTTGCCTTAATTTTAATTCTCAAAATTTGGTGAAAATCGAATAATAAATACGATTTTTACAGCCTCTTACTTTAGTTAACCATTTAATTGTCACCCAGTACCAGAAATTACCATAGAAATATCCTAAAATAACAACTTAACTGAATTCGCTGTACCAACATATTTTTATTGAACAAAATAAAACATGACAAGTCCATGTTTATCAATATTTCTTCACTTGTCCAGAATGGAATAGGTAGCATCTGATTTCGAATTCTGGAAAGGTGAGCTTTTTATCCTTTTGTGGCAGCGATCTCAAAATAAGCAGTGAACTTGCCAGGATTCCAATTCGAATTCAATCTATTGCAGAAATCTTGTATTGCACGCAAATATCGAGGTGCATGCAGGTTGTGACATTAGTGCATGATCAAAATTGTCAAAAAATGATATTTTTCAGGTTTGTCGACAACAATCTACCTTCCGCGACAACGACAGTTAAAAGTTAAGTCAAAAGTTAGCAAACTCATAGACTATTCAACTTCAGAATCACTAGAAAAATTTGGATGGTATTCCGTAAGGTACTGCCAGTGCATTTACATTTCGCATTTCACGAATACCGAGCCCCTATAACCACGACGCAATACTTTACAACTTTATTTGTGTTCCAGTGTAATAATTTTAACATATTAAATTATTTTATTGATCACTCTTTGATTTTAAAGCTCTTTCCAATCATATTAGGTATTAGGTATGTACATTGTGATACGTTGTGATAATACCTAAAGAAGAATAAAGAATATATTGAGCTTTAATCTATTAAATGAATAATTTTCATGATGACCATAATCAAAATAAAATAAGAATTAACAATTTAAATCGATCAACTTTTTACCAATTGGGTTGAACATGATTTAATATTATTATCATATGGCTATTTTCAAACTAAAATTTCGATCAAGGAATTCATTTTTTCGAAGATTTAAATAAATTTTCGAAATTATTAGTTGATAGTTGGTTAACCGTCTGCAGTTAATAATAAAGGTTTGACAAGCCAGCAATATAAAGCATTATGTCAACATTTTATGGGAAAATATTTTCTGCCTTTTCTGCGAACATTTGCCCCACAATCTGGAAAAATAAGAAAAAGGAAAATTAGCTGAGTCTCTAAACAAGTTCTATGGAATAGCAAAAACCTCAAATTTCTTTCTTGTAAATTCTTTCAAATTCACAGAATAAGTTTTGGGTTGTTACTTGGTGAACAGGATATTATCGGTGGTACTGAACTACTTGTTTATTGTGTAGTAATTGGCGATCTGAAAGCAACTTGCGTCTTCAATGCGCTCAATCTACTGTTTTAATCTTTTCATTCACACCAGGCATTGTTTTCATGCGGATAAGAGTTATTTCATCGGTCAACTTTCAATTCTGGAATTTATTTTTCAATCTTACTGTTCTTGATGGAAAATTACCTTTGCATTTGAAGCCTTGATGAACAATTCCGCCCAATATTGAACCACAATTACAGACAATTGGTAACATGTAGGTGCGAGTATGAGATTTACCAATATCTTGTTGATCCTCATTAGGCAAATCCTGGCAAAGATAATTAAGCATATTATTAGGTTGTCCGGGCCAAAGTGGCGAAAGTTTGACCAAGATATTTTTGAATAGGAATTTCGTAGCTAACTCAAATTTCAGAATTTTATTAACAAATACCACAAAATTAATTTTGTGAAATTTCAGGCTGAAATTAACAATAATTAAAAAGTAATTAGAAAATTAGTGAAAAAATCAAAAATTGAAAATTTCACCTCATTGATCGAGTCTGTAGACTAAACCTCAAATGATAGATGCACGAAATTAACCCAAATTATTTGCCTAGCCTTCTTTCATCGAATTGTAATTTAATTTTCTCAACAAAACCAAACACTTTTATTTAATCATCAAAAAATATCAAAAATAGTAGACCCTTTGATTTTTTGGTATTTTCGTCAGCATAAAAAACGAATTTTTGATTTAAATTGTTCTAATTTTTTAACCAAATCATATAATTCTATTCTGTTAATTGTAAAATAATTAGCTATTCAGCTATCACTAACCGGAAATTAAGGAAAAAAATCATACCAATGCGAAATTAACAAAAATTTAGTTCCGCCATTTTTGCCCGGACAACCTAATAGTAATGTGTTTTCCGGTCATACACTCGCGAAACTTGTAATATTATACATCAATAAAAATAAACATTTAATGCTAGGAATTCAATTTACCTGATTAGTTTCTCCAAATTTACATCGACTTTTCACAGCAATGTGACACCTTTTGTGTACAACACAGAAACAACCTTCAATGAAAAGAAATAAAAAATTATTAAATTCACTTATAAAATGAATTTATTAATTCCCATATCTTACCTTTACATTGATATCCTTGTTTCCCAAGACCATAAATGAATCCATGACAATGAGAACAGAAGGTTGGTGAAGTAAGCAAAGTAGCTTTAAATTGATGACCAGCAACTGAATGAATTTTACTTGGCATGATTAACTTGACAATTAGATAGACCCTTGTTTGTTAATAAAGTGAATTACAATAGATTGAAAGGTTGTGTAAAACTAGAATAAGATGTGATTTGAAGCAGGAGCAACTGTCTGCTCAACTTTTATTGCTTAATAAACAGCTTTTGCAGACTCTGATTTCAGACTATAACAGGCTCAGCCATCTAGTGATGTTACAGTAAGAGCTGATATAATGAAATTCTCTTGGAATAGCTTAAATTTAGTCTAGATAATATCATGACATGATAATTGGCTAACCTTGATGCTCACTTGGTGAAGTTTATTGCGTTGTTATCAAATCACACATTGAATCCTATTTTATCGTCTGCAGTTATTAAATAATAGGATTATTCGTTATTTCGTCCAATATAGATCCGGTTCATTTAATTAACGGTGAAAACTAGTGAATCTCATCTCATCTATTGATTCCATTTCAAAAGTATTATTATTCGAACTTTATCTCTTTAGGTTTATCAATGTATTAAGATAAGGCAAAGTAATTTTACCTTTTCTAAACGAGTCTTTTCCATTCCCGGATCTAAAGTGTAATCATTGAAACCAATCTCTCATAATTGAGACAAAAAGAAAAGAAAAAGGATTATAATCATGCAAAATCAGTTCGTCAATAAAACTATATGAGTTTCACTTCTTTCAGCTCATAGCTTCAACATCAACAACTCGACTATCCTGGGAAAGCAACTAATCGTTTCTTAGCCATTGCATTGGATGCGTAAGTAGTGCCAGTAATCATCAACTGCTTGAGTCTATTGTTTTCTTTCATTGATTGTTGCATAAACCTTTACATCTTTACTTCTTTTTTTCAGCTCTGGACATGTGCATTCGGTTTTGGGATTTCTGAGACTCTAATGGCTGCCGGGCATGAAGTGTATCCGGCTCATCGTGAAAGGTACAGATCTTTAGCTGAAAAAGGAGGAGTATCATTAATTCCGTTAGATGGAGATTTATTGCTGCTAGTATAGAGGAACTAATGATTATGTTTATTGATTGGCGTCACAACAGGCAAAATCTGTCACTGTCCTTTTGTCAATGATTTTTCATCAGAGAAACTTACCAACATAACTTATGCCGGTCATCATCAGAGTTGGAATCAATATGAAACTCATTTTCAAAATAACTAAATTCATAAATGTGGTCTCGAACTCGGGACAGGCCAGCGTTACCTCAACTCTACCCTTAACCCGCTGCTTTACACCAAATAATGCAAAAAATGACAACATCATCTATATAATAATACCACGCTTTGGAAGCTCATCAGTTATCAATCCTGAATCGGTGATATTTGGTATTCAAGAAAATTCGGTTTTATGCAGTTAAGTTCAACTGATAATTTTCGCGTTAAGTGCAGCTACCAGTGTAATCAATTTATAACATAACCTGTAAAATTGAAATTACAAAAATTACAATGTAATAACAGATACTCTAGACTATCGACTGCCAAATGGACTTGATTTTTTCAAATTTTTATCGTTTTGGTTGATTATTTGTTGATTTCATTAAATGTTGATCACCAAGAAAATTATATCAAATTAAAGCTGAATTTTAACACATTAGGAAAAATCATAAGTTGAACTCAACTGCATAAAAATCGAACCTTATCAATTCCTGAAAAATCAATATTTCTAACCTTATTGATTGTCTCTTCATTTGCTTGTTAATCTGATCAACCTCAATGATTTCCCAGATTTGACCTGATGTTGATGACCAGAAACTGGGAAATCAACCAACATAAATATCCAGATCAGCCAGATCATTGACATTCACCTAAAGTTAATGGACAAATTAATTAAATTTACTGGTCAATCCATGTTAATTTCAGCATCGGGAATGGCATGGCTGCAACCAGCTGTTAATAGCCAATGATTTCAGGCACCTATTGACATTTAAAAATATGAAAGATTAATTGATTGATCAATAGTAGATGCAAATTGCATCAAAATTTATCAAAACTGTTTGCATAATAATAATCAATGAAACTGCCAATATTTGGTAATTTGCTTGTTTGCTTACTCAATTAACTGAATTTGAAAGTTATAACACTAATGTATTGCTGTTGATCAATAGTCTGACATTAGTAAAGGAGGTTTGATGTTATTAATTAAAACTACACTTAGAAGAGGATCAAATAGCTGTTGAAAGTGGATAATTAGCAATTTTCAATGCAATCAATAATGTTCAATAGCTTAAGCGCAAACAGATACAAGGACGGTAAAGAAAGGGTGAAAATGATTCAATGAAGAGTCAATTCAAGGTTAAGATGATTAATAGTGTTAAATTTGAATAGTACAAACTTTACTACATAACTCAACACGTAACTAAACTGTTTGCTTAACAATTAACCTGGTAATGACATTTACCTTGGTAATAACAATAACAAAATAATAACAATAATAATACTGTTGATACTTGATGAAAAAAAACTGGAACTCATTTGAACATCGAAAGGAAAATTGATATTTCCTTTAACCTTTTTCTTCTTCTTCTTCCAATCATCACCTTATTTATCAACTTAACTCTCCCACCTTCATTGCTAGGCTCAAAATAAACTACCAGCAACAAAAAAGTTGTTTGTTGAACAAGAACCAGAAAAGAGCAAAACCCAAAATAAAACCAGAATTTATCGATAAATTTGGTCAGCTCAAAATGATTATTTCCAGGGTTAGATAAAATTAGAATAACTTACCCAGTAGATTCACTCAGATTTATAGTCGCCAGTTGTTCATTTTGATTAGTTCATTGTCCACTTGGTTAAGATTTAAGATCATTCAATCAAACGTCTGAAAATGTTTCAAATCAACATTTGTTTGCAGCCTTTAACAATAAACCTGTTTTCTTCATTTGAAGTATTATAAAATGTTTGAAAAAAGTGTTCTTTGTTACAAAGTGAACTCTGACATCAAAGATTAACTGATAAGATAGTAGCATTGGCAACCGATGCAACAAACTTAACCAAAGAGTAAAGTAAGCTACTCTTTGAAACTTGACGCAACTTTGTGTCTCTGATTCAACCAACACTCATCATAATCATCGAAATTTTTAACCGTTTTTGTACAAAAATTGATCGACTGTTCAGCTGTTTTGCTATGTTTAAATAACCATGATTGGTGGAGCGTTTGCATTGAAACGTAAACGTAAACGTGAATTGGAAGAAAAGCGAAATGGATCGGTTCAGGATTCAATTTTACCTGGTATTTTATCGTTTGGTCAACAATTTTATCCATCTGAAAACAGGTTAGAATCTGCCATTGTTTATTATGATAATCGCGGCATTGACAGTGCAAATTGTCGACGCAGAGAGGTTGGCAAAAACAACCGAGACTATGGATTAACCGTTGTGGCAATTTTCATTCTTGGAGCTGGCTTGTTGATTTTGCTGATCAGTTCAATCCTTTCTGGTTCTGTGACAACACCGATAACAACCATTGGTCTGACTTTAACTTCATTTGGCCTCTTCATTTTCATCATCAAATGTTTACTTTCCTCTTTTCTCGACAGACCAACTCACCAAAAGCTAAGTCCAGAGCAAAGTGAGGACGATTTGCACAAACCATCATCACCTTCATGGATTCAGATTCCCATCAACAGTGATTTACAGCATGAAAATTACAATCACCGTCACCACCAACATCATCATCATCACCTTCATCATAATCAAGTTCATAAACATGATAAAAATGGAAATGCAAAGCATAGTAAAGAGCCGAAATATCAATTGAGTGGAAGATTGACTGAGACCATGTCATCAATAATCCTCGACCCAAGCAAACTTAACAAGCAATCGCCAGGTTTAAATGCTGAGCAACCACCCTTTTTAATTAATCAACAATTAATTACTTCCCTGGCATCCTCTATTGATTCAACTTGTGAGGAGAATTATCATGATTCAGTTAATAAAAATTTGTCTCTCGGTGAATTGAAACAGACTGGTTCAGATGATATAAAACAAAGATCGAACAATACTTCGCCATCTTTCCAGCTTTTAACCCCAATCTCAATCAACGATGTTTAATTAAGAACTGTACATTAGATTTTAATCATGAAATGTGCCAACAAATATTTTCTTTAATTATAATGGTATAATTTTTTTGTTTTTAATACCGTGTGATTTGCCCAAGGATGAAATTATCTCAATAAAATCAACTTTTAGCGTTGCAATCTATGTCCTAATTTATTGAATCTCTCATGCATAATAAGAGATCATGGTTTAATTGATTTATTGAAATCTTAAAGACCATCTTAATTAAAATTTTAAATTTGTATCCTCTAGATGGCAGTGTTCAATTTCATTTAATTTCAAGTTAAAATGTGAAAATCTGACGAAAAGTAAATGCCACCAGATGGAGACGGTAAAAAATTGTACATAAGTTATTTGATGATTACAAGCAAGTTAGCTTACATAAGTTAGAGTTAAGAGGATGTTCTTTTTCTTTATTAAATCATTTTGGTCAACTATTAGTTGGCTTGATTTGGGTGTTTTGGCTAATATTTAAGCTTTTGTAGCTGTTTCGTTTTGTCATCTGGTCATATTGTTCATCATAAAGTGATCCACACTGGATTAACCGTTAATTATGTTCTCGTCACTCTAAATCAACATAAATATTGAATATTGACTATTAGATATTGCCTTGTGTTCAAACGGAAATATTCTTTAAATTTTTTACTGTGTTTTTCCTTCAAAGTTTATTTTCACCGCTCTCTCCTCTTTCTTCTAGCCAGACTTATTTTAAAATTTAACATCATGAATGACCAGGTTAATGATCAAAAAGTAAGTATCAATCATAATCTTATGAATATCGTTTATTAGCTGATCCCTTTTTTATATTTGTAATGTGAATCTTTGTTATTTTTACCGTTATGAAAAAAGCCTTGCAACTAATTGAATATCTCATTGTATCTTTTGATAGCCTGGAGATCACAGCTACCAGGAAAGGAATGGAGACCAATTTCACGAATCTCAGCAAAATGGTACAGAGCAACTATTCCCACAAATTTCGGAAACTCACGACGATCAACTTATTGACCAAAATCAATCAAAATCCGAAGAAGAACAACAAATATCACGCCAACAGTCATCTCAATTATCCTCATCATCTTCACCAATCTCATCATCAAGCACCGAGCAAAATAATACTAATCACCATTTTGCTCCAGTAAGTAGACTGTCATAGTTAATTATTATCAGTCTAACAACGACTCGAATCAAATGTCTAATGTTTATCTCTCTTTAAATTTTCAGAGAGCAAAACTTTTCGTAGGCCGTTTACCTGAAAACTGCTCCTCTAAGCATCTTGAAGATTTATTTTGCAAATACGGAACCGTAACTGAATGTGATGTTGTCGGTAGATACGGGTTTGTGGTAAGTATCCTCATGACAGGCTGTCAAATAACTTTCTTGCACCCCCTCTCCTTCTCTCACTTTATGCATCAAATGTCACGCCTGTTTTTGGAACATTTTCTTCCTTCGAGAAATTCGTTTCCTCCATCTTATTTTCCCTTGAACCTCTCGTAATCATGAATCAGATTGATCACTTGATTTTCTCACCGTTTTTCTTTCCTTTCTCTTGCCTTCTATTTTCCCATTTTGAACCTTACCACTCTCTTATTTTTCTCTTTCGCTGAAAAAAACCCATTGCTGCTTTACCACCAACATCAAAAAACATCATCATCATTTTTGCACTGATGTTTAAAGCATATGAGCAAGCCTGAGGAAGCTGAAGAGTGTGTCAAAAAACTGAACAGATATTCTTTCATGGGATCCTTATTAACTGTGGAGGTACAAATTGTTTTTCTTTTTCATTTACATATTTCTTTCACTCTTAACGCCAAGAGAATTACTAGAATACTCCCTCTACCACTGAAAAACCACTACGCCACCATCATCATCCTCTTCACCTAATCACTCTTTCTTATCCTTTAATGAGATTATCCGATATTTGAACAAAAATTCACCGTCTAAATATGCGTATTTGATTACCCGGAAAGATATTTTCATCTTAGCGTTACCAAAAAATTATAAAAATGTCTATTCCCTCCTCACATTGGCATAAATCTGACCGTTAGAAAGGTTTGCGCCAAAAATAGACAAAAAAAGCTTGTTTACACCAATTCGTCCTAACATTTATCTTCTTCATCCATGGTCCCCTCCTCCGCAACAAACTAGAAAAAAATATATAACAGGGGGAAAGAAAGGTGTCGTATTTCCTCTTTACTTTCTCATCGTCTCTTTCATTTTTATCTTCTTAAATCATCCTTTTGCATTTTTCTATCTTCATCACTTTTTTTGCTCCTTCAACTTATATTTAAATACTTATTTCCCCCTTTTTTCTGGTTGCGTTGTGAAAAGAAGAGTGACTTACTTGATTAGTTTTCTCTAATATGTTTTTACTCTCCTAACCAATGCTTTATCCACTTCTTCTCTCCCTCCTTTTGCTATTTTTAGTTCTCCACGAGCAAAGTTCATCCTGAACCGGGAACATTAGGCCGAGCCAAAGGTATTTCTCGCATGAGTAAAGGTATCCGACCTCGAATCCATAATCACACTCCGTACCACCGTGAGCTTTACAATAACCATAGAGCAAGTGTAGGTCCACCACATTCAGTACCATTGCCACCACCGCATTCACATCCAGCACCAGTTGCACCACCTGGACGCTTATATGTAGGCTATTCTCAACCTTACTGCCCAGATAGTTATAGACCCTATGAAAGAGATATCTATTATGATTCAGATTATTATGGTAGAGACAGAGAGCGACATTACCCACCTATTGACCACAGAGCAACCGGAGTGGGTGGAAGTGTAACAGCAAATTATGATTTCGACAGTAGAGGATATTCACCACCTCCACCATCTCCCCTTGGACATCATCCAACCCCACATCATGCGCCTTATCCTATTTACTCTAGTCATCGAAGTTTACCAATTCGAGCTTATGAACGACCAGTAATCGACGAATCAATGCCCATGTATTCCGCCAGAGGCTCACCGATGACAACTCATAAGTGTCATTATCATAAATGTCATTATGATATGCACGTTAAACCATATCTAAATTGAAAACAAATTTTCACGAATAAATCACCAAACAAATGATAAGTATTTCATATCTGCCGATAAATGTCGCACAAACTACTGCTCGACGAAAAAAATGTAATTTATTTCATCGAATCAGCAAAACGAAATTGCATCTCACCAAGTCATTTTTTCAATCATAGTGTCAATCAACAAACCCTGTTAGATTGAATGTCATTAGTTAACTTTCAACAATTTACACAAACCCATTTAATTCTTGTGTATATCCTTCTCACCAAAATAATGCCAATCAATCAAGGTTTATTTTCTTTCTTCTACTCTTTCTCCTAAATCAACTCAACTTAAATGTTGACACTAATTCACCATGATTGTGATGAATCTCAATGGTTCCACCTCAATATAAACTTATAAATATATAAATACCGTTATATACAAATTAATATATATGCAAAAACAAAATTAACAGTTGTAAATGTAAGATCAATAATCACTGTCAGATCTTACTTTTTCAATTTACTTATTGGATAAATTTTCATTAAATATTTAATTAATGAGTAAAAAGCAATTCTTTTCTGTAAGCCTTCAAATTTTATTGTTTTGGGATTCTTCCAGAAGTTAACATTTTCTAGGTGACAAAGAAGTTGATTTTTTCAAAACAACAATCAACACATTCTCCAACAATTTATTCATATCAACATAATATGAATTTAATTGAGATTGACAACTTGACTCACATTTAGACTCTAATGAAAAAGTAATCCAAAACAATCAGACAAATTACTAATTAAACACAATCCTGTCATGAGATTATTAACCTCGAAATTATGACTGATAGAACTGTAATCAAATCAAACTATTTCTCTAATAGCCAATTTCGATGATTATGAGCTATTAACGACCTCCTGTCTCTTATTCAAAGAACTGTCTGAATTTTATTATAATGATTCCCTTAAAGTGCTTAACTTGAATGTTTATTTTCAAATAATTAGACAAGTTTTGACAATTTGATTTACAATTTTCAAAATGAGATCATTTCTGTTTATTGCAATTGTGACTATTGAAAGTGTTTTGAGAGATTATCATGAGGAAATCTGAATGTTTATTTGTTCTGTTCGGCTGCAAATAATTACAATGGGAATGATTACATTTCGTCTGTTTATGAAGTTAATTTTGATCATTGAGCATGTAAAAGTTGTAAAGGTTAAGCAAGCAATTTTTCCGTTAAATGATGATTTATGAAATTCAAGTTATTGAGCATTTATTTTTAGTCTAGCAGATAATCACTCATCTTATGTTTGAGTTAATTGAAAACGGCAATTCCATTGAATAGATGGAATTTTACAGAAAACTTCTTTACAGGAAAAAAAATGAGAAATAAATTCTTTCTAATTTTCTCTGTTAATTGCTCATCCATTATGAAACGGTTATTTATTGAAGATAAACGTGCAAATATCAAGCTCCGATTATTTTCTTAACAGTTTAACCAGGTGTAGAATAGAAGAAAAGAATAAGAATAAGAAAAGCGAAATGAGCATTTTACAAATGAACCATTTCTTGCGAGACCAAACAACATAACGAAATGATTTCCATGGATTAGACAGGCAAAAGAATGAATTTTCAGAACGTCTGTGAATAGATTAAGAGAGTAATTAATTAAAGTCAAAATAAGATCAATCAACACTTGAGTTGAACAGCAATACTTACTGAGGTTTATCAAGTGGATGAGGAGCTTCACGAGCTAATCCTACGGGATTAACATCAGCTTCTTCGCTGGTTAACAGTTCAAATTCAGCTTCCATTTTACCCTGAAAAAGGCAGAAAAATAGAGAGGTTAATAAATCATTGATCGATATAACATGAAGATTCACCAAATTGCCAAAAACCACAAAAACATCATTAGCTTTCAAAGTGTTTCTGAAAACGCTTAAAGAATGATTACAATCCATTAATAGTGAGGTAGAAAATAGCAGCTGAAGTATCGATAGTAATTTGAATGTTGTCAAAATGAAACAAAAAATCTATAAACATTGAGTAAAAAATTGTCAAAATTTAGTGTTAACTCTTCATCACATAATGTTGACAATTTGCAGATAAACAAATAACGATTAATTTTCAATTATTGTAATATACTTGGCAATAACAAATGAACAGAAAACAGACGAAAAGCTGACTTACTGTCAATTCATCTTTACCATCAGATAATTTTGCATAAAAAGGCCACCAACCTCGAACTCTCTTCTCTTTAAACAGATTGATTCGAGCCTTTTTTAAATCCTTTTGAAGTTTCGTTTCCTTTGACTCAAGCAAATTACCTAAATTACAATCTCTAGCTGTTCTTGATCCTCTGGGAAACTCCAATAGATTTAGATGAAGATACCCTAACAAATGATCACCAGAAGATGAATAACTCCAGACTTCCAGATTCAATCGACATGGCAATTTCACTTGAGTTGGATTAAGAGAATAAAAACGATCTCGATGTCTAGCCATGATAACACCATGATTGAAGGAAATCAAATCTAAACAGGAATCGCCAATTGAAATTGCCTTCACTAGTGAATGAGCGATAATGTACATCAGTTGATTGCGCCAACTTCGCATCTTGAATCCAACCCTTGATGTAAATATCAGACATTTTTTCTCCTGAAATACCTCGTGGTGATATATCCAGTGGACCAGGTCGGGGATCACTTGCTCTAAACAAGTCAACCCACATTTCAAGTTTTCCTTGAGCAACACCTGGTTTATCTGGTCGACATAGGGAACGAGTTTCAATATGTTCAGGGACAAGTTTGTAACCAAAAATTTCTCTCCGTGAATTAAGTACTCCTCATGCTAATTGTTCATCTTTATGAGGAATGTCATTTGAAGCTTGTTGATCATCTTGTTTACGAGTAAACAACACTTTACCAATCTTTATGTGCTTCTTTGCTATCACAAGATTAGTTATTTTCAAGTCACGACTTAATCTCGATAGTATTTGACTTTGTTCCAGTGATTCACGCAATTTACCTGGGCCAAAGTATTAATCAATGAATGAGTATAAATATTTGACATATTTACAAGTATTTCAAGTAACCTGATATTTGGTATGATCTCGATAAGCCACATGATGCTCTGTAAATGGAATAAAATCTATCTTCGAGATCAATTTTTGTCCGCCCAATCAGTTGACCAGATGAGAAAACATCGCGATCTTTCTTTGTTATCGTCAGTGTGGATTCATGAGGAAAAGTTGCTTCGAACTCATACAATCGTCCAAGTATTGGATCCAAAGAATTGGCCACAAATTTATCGAAATCGTTTATCTTTTTTGAACCAAGATTCAGGGTAAGATAAAGATCAGCTTTTTATTTGCATTTTGAGGCACAACATCATAAACACGCACGATATAAACACGAACAAGAACCTTTATCGGATCATTGTTAGTTAAATGTTCAACCAGTTGACATCTGTTTTTCCAAGGATACCACTGAGAGAAAAAATCTATTAGAATCTAATATTCGGAAAAATAGCATTTATATTGAACTCATCGTCGCTGATCAACAATTTTTGTGAGATGATATTACCTGTATAATCTGAAATCTCCTTTAAATATTCCCTTGCTGTTAAAGGAACCATAAACAACTTTACTTTTAATCTTCCCTTTTCTAGGAGTAATAATGGCTTCAGGTTGATTCCGTGCTGATTGAAATTTTTATGGATAATGGTGGACAGTAAAATTCTTGATCAGGCAAACTCAGTTCAATCTCTTTTTGAAAATTGGGAAAATTAGGATTCTTGGAGTAATTGGAGATAGCAGATGACGATATTATGATGCCACGAACCTCTAATTGGCTTTAGGTTTATCAACAGACAAAAATTTAACTCGTCCTAAATTGCGTACGCCCCAGAAGATTACTTGTAATTTATATTTAGGCAAGGCGACCTTATCTATGGAGGAATTGAGATTATCTCAGTATTGCCACCAACATTGACAGAACCAGACGGGATCTTGGATAATCCTCTGTGCTATCGGTTTCACTGATTTGAATCGACTCAAGAGCCATCAGCAATTGTCCACCTTCATGGCCATTCAACCAAACATCATACCAATTAAGTCTAGGATATTTGTAGATTTTATCAGAAAATCGTACATAGTCAAAGGTTACTCGACCAATGAAGTCATCTCCACCAATGATATCACGATCATAAACTTCGACGAGAGCAGTTAATCCATCAGCTTTGATATCATCTCTAGAACCAATTAAACTTATTTGAGGTGCTATAATTAATTGGTCGCAACATATTTTTATTTTTCAAATTGACCCCCAGCTTTGTGCGCATCATCATCAAACTTATCATTACAAAATCATTATTTCATCAGCCATTTCAAAGTGCCACAATTGTAAAGTTGTCGTTTAATTACTTCTAAAGTTTAGTTCAATTTTATTATCTTGTAATTACTTTTCGATTCTTTTACTGTTCCAATCTCAGGTCAATATGGCGCGAATTAATACCAGCCAGAATCTGAGAATCATCAAAAGAGAAGATGCAAGTTCATCTTCTTATTCCTCTCAAGTAAGCCTTCATGCCTTATTGCATTTCTCAATATTTAGTATTTAATTTTTAATAATTTACTTGTTTTTCAATTTTTAATTTAGCGATCGAAACGTCCACGATTGGGTACATTCGAGGTTGGAAAAGTACCCTCACAACGAGGACCATCATTTATCGAGTCTCCAACATCAGCAGTTCAAACTCCAACAACTGTTTCAGTACCTTCAGTACAACAAGGGCTATCATCTTCGGTTCATGAGGAAAGGGCAACAAATATTGGAACATCCATGGGTCGCGAATCACCTCGATCATTGGCATCAACAACCGTGCTTCATGGAGAAGTGATGCGTGAATACGGTGAAAATGAGCTTCTTGGTTTTTCACTCGACCAATCTTCTCTTTTCATCCAAATTATTAGCCTTTTAAATGGCAAAGTATTTGAAACTTTCCGAAATATGGAAAATGGCTTCATAACTCTCCAGAAAGTATGGAGCTTCGCAAAATATCACATTATCAAAACTGAACATGGTTACAGCCAACATTTTACCAACAAATCTGAATTTCCTGCCGCAGATACTGAAATCGAAGATGAGTTAAAAAGAAACATTGTTTGTGTTGAGCAATCCATCCGTTGTGCCTATCCAGGATGCATGTGCAAAGGAAAGATTTGGCCATCTCGAAATGCTGCACAACAACATTTACAAAATCTTAATGTTATTTATTTTTGTGCTGCGTGTGGACAAAATTTCAATGCTCGAACCACGGCTCTTTCGCACCACAGAACAAATTGTAGCATTTTAAAAAATGAAGGCTTAGAATATGTGAAAATGTTAAAATTAATGGAAAAAAAACTTAAAAAAACCAATCAAAAACTAAGTGATGACGAAAAAGACATTGATGATGATGATTCCACTCGATGCTGCTGCTGAAATGAATTATTCAGATTTTGAGTCACCAATCTCATTTGATGAATTTTTAAAATATTGTTTGCAGTTGGGGATAGCTCGAAAAGTGCTCGAGCCAGAGACAACAATCGAATCCATAAAACAAAAAACTTCTCTTGAAGAGAAATACATTCTTTTATCATTTTTGAAAACTTTCCAGGACTTGGTCCTTAATCAAAGAAATTGAAAAATTAAACCGTAAGTTATCCGTATTATTATAACAATAATACTAATCATACTTCTTTTCGTTTTTTTACAGGACCTCAAAAGACTACAAAATATTTTATTCAAAAAAGTACGCATTCCAAATAGTGGAAAGATTGAGTGCCACACCAATATCTCAATGGGACCTGGATTGGATTACTGGCAAGTCCCTGCGAAAACTAGAAATTGATGAGCAAATAGATCGTTTCTATTGTATTTATCCGATTTGCCCATGTGGTGGAAAATTCTATTCAATTACTTTTCATGACATAATTCGCCATATTCAAATCAGAAACTTCACCTTGGTTTGTCTTGTTTGTCATCGCGCCTTCAACAATCAAAAACAACTCGATGAACACTACACACCAGATTGCGAACTTCCGTTAGCAATGCAGCCAGAAACACTGAAAAATGAATATCTGGCCGCTTACAGAAAAAAGAACAACTTGTAATAATTTGACATTTATCTATTTATTATTTTTTTTACTTATCATTCATTTTGATTGTTTAACAAACCCCATCCCAAATACGGCAGCTTGACAGTACTGTCAAGTTGCCGTATTTTTTTGTACTTAAATGATTACATTTATTCTGTTCTTAGTTCATAATAAAAGAAATTAATTAGTAAAGAACTTATCACAACTGTTTAGGATAATATGTTTAGGGTAACTTAAAAAGTACTGCAATAAAGTTCATGGTAATAATGCGTTTCTGCTCACTTTTGGTCAATCGAAGTGTCTAAAGCATAAAGTCCAAAAACGAGACTTGGATCGTTTGTTACACCAAAAGTTAGTTAAATAGAAGCAATTCATGGCTATTAATAGTTTTGATCACAGATCTTGATTACCTGTGCCCACATTAGAACTCTTCTGAACATTCAACTACATGAATCAGATTACTGTTTTTCCAATGCAATATGGGAGTTTCAAACGTAAATTAGATTTGATTCATTAAACAATAGCCGATAAAATCCATCAATATTTTATCAATATCGATCAATTTTGCATCATTTATAAGTCAATTCAAAAGCTTTAAAAGCGTCAAACTAGGTGAGAAAACTTGTCAGTTCTTGCGAAGTGATTAAAATGTATTCCTCGTTTTTGTTCATTTTCATCTTAATTAATTTTCAAGTTGAAGCTAAAAACTCATGTAATGATGAGTGTTCAACTAAAAAGTATTGTATATCAAGTGATGGTTCTGGTGTTTGCTCAAACAATAACCTGGCAACAGCTAAATTCGCAGTGGTTCCAGACTTTGGTACTTATGATTATCTCCAATTAACCCTGACAGGCTATAATGTAACATCAGATGCCGAAAAAACAATCACATTGAGCTTTGATCGATTTGGCTCTCCCATAAATAGATACACTTGTTATAAATCGTCTAATGGATCATTTGGTGCAAGGTTTGATCGGAGTTCCCTCAGTCTAACAACTGGATCATCTTATTACAAGGATGGTGTTTTAAACTGTACTTGGACTTTCAATCGTTATGATCTTATCTGGCCAATGGGTGTAGATCTGTTTAAAGATGACATAACACAATCAATATCGCTCTATCACGACTCACAGAAAGTTTTAGTTGCTCCAAACATTACTCAACTCCCAATCTATCACGCTCAATATCTTAAGTGCTGTAATAAGGTTCATGGTAATGGTGCGTTTTCGCTCACTTTTGACCAAACTGATAAACAAATACGTTATCGACTTTACAATTGGGAATACATTAAAGAAATGACCATAACTCTAACGCGGCAAGATGGAATCGGATTGAAATTTGTAGTTCATCTTTATGAAAATGTAATATATGCCTACATTATCAATGTCTATACATATAAAAATGACCAACTCATGAAACCATTCGTGTACGCGGGCAAAATGTGCTCATGGACTACTCCTCTTATTCTGGGCGATACACAGATCAGTTTTGATGCATCTACCAGTGTCTTTGACCTACAAGTTGAAGTTAACGATGTCATAGTTTACGATGAAAAAGGTGTTGAATTGAAAAGTTAATAAAATTTCCAACGAAATCAAATCAATGTTTATACGAAAACTTAATCAAGAAATAAATTGAACTTTTATTATTATATTATAATTTTGGCTTTTCATTTCATTATTATTAGTGAGAGAGATTTGTATGTCTCAAGATTTGCATTAAGATTCAACATAAAATGAATCATAATCATGAAAATAAATCTAGGCCACTCAATATTCGTTTGGTTCCTTTTTATTCAAAAATTATTGCTGTAGATTAATTTCATCTCATTTTTAATATATTTTAAGATTCATGATAAATGAACATAGGAGTTTAAAGGACAATATACTAGACAATAGATAGAGATAAAGGATTAACCTACCAATTATTCAGTTCGTAATACTTGTCAGTATTTATGATGCTGGTCATGGATAAAATCAAAGGGATACTTTGATAATAAGTTGAATCATTATTATTTATTTAATATTTAATTATCTTAATCTTCTCAGAAGTTTTCTGTTTACCATCCATGTTTCATCCATTAGAATGAACATTAACCCTTTTAAATCAAAGTATTATATGTAATAATAAGATATGAATAGCAATAAAAATCAGAATCATTGACCCTTTTCAATAAATTCATATTATTGAACAATGATATTAAAGATACACGGAGATCAATTGAGTTTTATACTTTAAGTTTGACTCGCGAATATTGTCTTTGTAGGTCTCTATGAATTCCGGCGAATCATCTGGTGCTACCGCTACTAGTGACACGGGTCCTTCGACGTGTTAAGAGCTTGCCTGCTTCAAAACAAACAAAAAATACAAGCTCGTCAGTGATTTAAGTTTTCGATTGAATAACTAGGACAACAAAGAAAGTGTCAAGTTATTGACTGATTTTCTGAAATTGATTGAACTCGGAAGCATTTCAGTAATGAAATTACACATTTATTTTCCTTTCAATATTCTTTGATAACGGACATACGAAAAGCCAATTGGTAGTTGAAAGAAACGCAGTGTCGATTAAATGTGTGTTTTTCAAGAGCATCTATATCTTCATTAACGAGGATTCCTTGGAAATTTATATTTAAAAACAAAAATCTTGAAGAAGTCTTTGTCTTTGAATGGTAATCAGTTTCTTGTAATACAAACTGTCGACATTCTTGTTGTGGTGCTCAACAGTTTTAGCAACCAGCAGAGTAACAGTTTAATCATCAACAGGAATTTAATTCCATCTTCTTACAAAAAACTCCGAGAACAAAACTGCTTTTATGATGGATTGAAAGTGAAAATTGTAAAAATGAATCGATATGATGTCCAAAGATCAATGTAGAGCTCAGTTACAGAAAAGTAATTTTTATTGAAAGAAAAGAAGAAAACTTACAAAACTTAGAAACTTTGTTAATCTAAAAGTTTTTATAATTGCAGACTCCGAATCGAGATGGCCATGAAATAAAACACATTCTTTTTAACCAACTGGTCAGTTTGACCTTTGAAGACTCATAGAGTCTTCGTTGAGTTCAGCTACCTAGGGTCCTCGTATAAGTTATTTGGGCTCCACAGTGGATAACCAGGAAGAAAAGTATGGATGAGGGTTCTAAGTTCTCCTTCTGAGAGCTTTATTTGAGTACTAAATTTGTGTACTGATGAGTACTAATTTTTTGTACTAGGTTTATTGATTATCTCATAGAAAATAATCACTTTTTTACAGGGAACAAACGAGGTGATAACGCGTTAATTAATAACTGATTGCGAATTAAGATGTGGATGTGGATATGAGCAAAATGGTACAAAATATCATTTACTGATTATATTGGCTTCGATGGAATAACATTCATTGTTAAAAGAAAACTTTTGGTGAAAAAGATTTGAAATATAGCGAAATCTCTTCAAAAATCGTATCAATATGGATATACACATTGAACCGTTGAGGGAAAACAGATACTTTGATGTTCAATTTTGCTTTGGGAACAAAATTTTGTCTCAAAATAATCATTTACCATTTGCTTTTGTTATTTGCTTTTATTCATTGTAATTGATTAACAATAAATCAGGTGAAACATTGACAAAATACAAAATTGTAAACAAGAAATGAAGACGGATTGGGTAAAAATGAAGAAGTTGCTTGAATCGAATTGTTATTTCTTACTTTTTTGGCATTTAAGTTTAGCTTAATTGATTACTTGATCACCGTGTTCGATCATATTGGTTAAATTGTCAACCTTTTGGTGTTTTCAATCAAAGAAAACTTTCAATCGTCTTGATTAATGTTTTTATTTAACTCTATTTATGGTTAATATTGGGATTTTTACTTTTTGTTATTGCATTTATCGACTGCTAATGGATGTCTTATTGCATTTATTATATTTTCAGCGAAAACGAAATCGATGATTGTATTCTGGATAACCGAAGAAGCTGTTTGACTGATTTAAATGGCTCTTGGCGACTAAACGATTTAAATGATGTTGAACTAAATTTACCAGATGAAGAGACTTTGTTCAAAATGATGAGCTACAACATCGTTAAAGAATTGAAGATCAACAAATCAAATAAGGAAGAAAACGACGAAAATATAACTCTAAATGCAGCCGAGATACTAAAGTCAGCTCTTAAATTGTCTAATAGGAAGAATGACCATTTCGATGATATAAATGGTCTTGATAACCAAGAAACGGTTAGTCCATTTCTATTTGAACTCAAGTACGGTACAAGATTTTACATCAAAGCATTAGTTACAGCGATGAATGGGTTGTTTATGTCTTTTTAGCCACAACAAAGACTTTGGGTTTACCTAAAAACAACACATTAACACAATTGTAACATTTGTGCATAAAGTGATACAAATTGACACGAAAAACGGGCAAAAATAGATTTCATTCAAATTTTGACTTTGTAGGTTTGTAAGGACATGAAAACGGGTCCCTTTTGTGCGATTCAAAAGTTTCTCTCATTAATAGTTTTTGATAAAATCAAGTTCGAAGTTGAAACTTTGTCCGCTTTTTGTACCGCTATGGAAGCAGATAATTTAATGAAACTTTATTTTTCTGATGTGGATTTTAATAGGCAACCAGAAAATGGACTTTACCAAATCAGATAAAACTTTGATTTTCCGTAAAAGAGACAAGTTCGATTTCGAATTAAAGCGACTTATTTCTGTGACCGTGTAAGTTAGAGTACTGAAACTTAGTATTCGCTCATAAAATTTGGCATTGAATATCATAAGTCAAACAATTTTTTCAATTTATTGATAGTTCTCTTGATTTTGGCCATTGGCCTTAAAACTTTGAACCTCGATATTTCGCGACTGGCACCACCTACAGTTATCATTCTTAAGCCAAACATTAGATCTTATTGTGGGCTGTAATGCGTTGTAGTTTTCAGATAATCCAAGAAACTACTAAAAGAGTTATAGCCTTGCATTCCCTAGCTTGTCAGATATTACATCAGATCAACAAAGATAAATATTCACTTATGATGCGTAAGAATAATATTCATTTTAAATGAATTAGCTT